GCCCCCACGGGAAGCCCCCCCTCCCCCAGAAGAAGCGGAGTTGGTATCTGGCCTGGAAGTACAAGCTGAGCAGTCACAGGGCCGTGCGGAGGATGTGCCAGGTAACCGCGCGGCATGCTGGGACTTGTAGTCCTCCCACCCCACACGCAACTTCAGCTTTGCTGTTCCATATTTCTTCATCTGCGTAATGATCGGCGTATTGATCGGCGTATTGATCGGCGTATTGATCGGCGTATTGATCGGCGTAATGATCGGCGTATTGATCGGCGTATTGATCGGCGTATTGATCGGCGTATTGATCGGCGTAATGATCGGTGTAATGATCGGCGTAATGATCGGCGTTGTGATCGGTGTTATGATCTGTGTATCGATCGGCGTTATGATCTGTGTATTGATCGGCGTTATGATCTGTGTATTGATCGGCGTAATGATCGGCGTATTGATCTGTGTAATGATCGGCGTATCGATCGGCGTTATGATCTGTGTATTGATCGGCGTAATGATCGGCGTATTGATCTGTGTAATGATCGGCGTATTGATCGGCGTTATGATCTGTGTAGTGATCGGGGTATTGATCTGTGTAGTGATCGGCGTATTGATCGGCGTATTGATCTGTCATCTGTCACTCCCATAGACTGGAGCCGTCCTCTTCCTCCTCGTCACCGTCATCGTCAACATCAAGCTGATCCTGGACACTCGAAGAGCCGTGAACGAGGAGGAGATGGGCCAGGACTACGGTGAGTGAAAGATGGCGGCCGGGGGGAGGGGTCGTCGCTGATCACATGACGCCGATATTGATTATTGGGATTGTTTTCTCTCCTCAGATGAGAACGTCCAGAACGTGGAATTTCCTCGCCGAGCGGCCGGAGGGAAGAGAGTTCTGGACGTGGAAGTTTATTCCAGCCGCTCCAAGGTGTACATGGCGGTGGACGGGACCGCGGTGCGTGCGCTCACACTTCAGGACTACAGAACACCTCTCCTCAGCTCCATAACATAGGAGGGAGGTGTCCTGTAGTCCACAGACAGAATCAACCGATATTTTATGTTCTTCTCACAAGTTCCCATCAAATATATCTGACTGTCCCTAGAGTGGCGTCCATGCGGTCTCGGTGCCGGGAAGCTGCGCTGTCCATGCGGTCTCGGTGCGGGGAAGCTGCGCTGTCCATGCGGTCAGGCTGTGCACTCCATGCGGTCTCGGTGCGGGGAAGCGGTGCACTCCATGCGGTCTCGGTGCGGGGAAGCGGTGCACTCCATGCGGTCTCGGTGCGGGGAAGCGGTGCACTCCATGCGGTCTCGGTGCGGGGAAGCGGTGCACTCCATGCGGTCTCGGTGCGGGGAAGCGGTGCACTCCATGCGGTCTCGGTGCGGGGAAGCGGTGCACTCCATGCGGTCTCGGTGCGGGGAAGCGGTGCACTCCATGCGGTCTCGGTGCGGGGAAGCGGTGCACTCCATGCGGTCTCGGTGCGGGGAAGCGGTGCACTCCATGCGGTCTCGGTGCGGGGAAGCGGTGCACTCCATGCGGTCTCGGTGCGGGGAAGCGGTGCACTCCATGCGGTCTCGGTGCGGGGAAGCGGTGCACTCCATGCGGTCTCGGTGCGGGGAAGCTGCGCACTCCATGCGGTCTCTGTGCGGGGAAGCTGCGCTGTCCATGCGGTCTCGGGGAAGCTGCACACTCCATGAGGTCTCGGTGCGGGGAAGCTGCGCTATGCGTGCGGTCTCGTTGCGGGGAAGCTGCACACTCCATGCGGTCGCTGACTCTTCTGTGTGTTGCAGGTTCTGGAGGACGAGGCGCGGGAACAGGGGAGAGGGATCCATGTCATGGTACTGAACCAGGCCTCGGTACGGTGCTCACCGCGGCGGTTCTCCTCCTCCATGTGGCTATTCTACCGATTGATGAGGTCATGTGACTTTTCCCTGCAGGGTCATGTGATGGCGAGGCGAGTGTTTGACACGTATTCCCCCCATGAAGATGAAGCGATGGTTCTGTTCCTGAACATGGTGGCCCGGGGGCGGATCCTCATCTTCACCATCAAGGTCTCTTCTGTGGGATCGCTGGGGGGGGAGGGGCTTCCATATTGGGGGGCTGGAAACCATCA